TTGTGCTCTGTCATAAATGAAGCGAAACGTCGAATGGAAAGACTAGAAGCTATTGCCGAATGGCAGGAGACCATAGAAGGTTGGGAGGGATCGCCTGTAGTGGACACCTGCTCTGAACTTGTTAAAGAGGGATCATTGATAAAGATATCAGCTGGTAATATGCAGGAGAGAGTTTTCTTTTTGTATGATGGACTACTCGTCTACTGCAAGAGGGCAGCAAGGTAGAGAGGGAAAAAGAGAGAGGAGAGAGACAGAGAGGTGGGGGAGAAGGGAAGGAAAGAAGAGGAAAAGTATGCAGGGACATTACAATCCTTAATGATCTGTGTCACTATTATTCTATAAGCTATAAAAAAGTCTACATAAGTTATGTCCATATTGAAGTATAGATATGCCATTCAAGCATGTGATTGACAGCAGCTCCTGCACAGATAAAGAATTTTGTAGCTTACATGCCAATATTGTCATGTGTTTTGATTTGGTGGAGTTTTTACTATATATAGGAGTTTGTGAGTGTCTCAATTATTAGCATTGATGCACTTAGTGCATCTGTTTATGGTATCATGGCATATTTTGTCCCACTCTTTCTCTCTCTCCTACTCCCTCTCTCTCTCTTTCATTCTCCCTCTCCCTTTTCCTCCTACTCTCTCTTTTCCTCCTACTCTCTCTCTCTCTCTCTCTCTCACTCTCTCTCTTTTTCTCTTTCTCCTCTCTCTCCCAATGCAGCTTCTCATTAAGAACTAAAGCAGGTAAATAAACAATAACAACAACAACAAGTTTTCTATTCAAATCCAGCTACATATATATTATAACGCATTAAAGATGCAACACAGTAACACATATGCTGCGTATCATGTACATCTACATGTACAGGAGGCTGCGAGTACTTGCACATGTGCGTTGTTAGCATACTTCACTAATAATAACATAAGCTTGGTCCAGTTTATGTTTTCTCTCTGCCCTGGATTGTTGTATATCATATCAACCGTTCATTACGCCAGCTGCTTTCTCTTGACTTTATAAATAGCTCTCCTCCCTAAAGAATATACAGTTCACATGCATATCTTGTATATATTATAAGTACTGATACATACATATACATATTCTTGTACATAATGTATGAGTATTGGTAATCTTGCTGTATTGTTGTTGTGTGTACTTTGGCTGTGTGTGTAGGAGCATTATTGCAGCTGCTCCTGCTTCTAATACAACCTCTTCTGTTGATAGTCATGCACTGTCTGTTTGCAAACACTTGGAATGAAAAACAGTTAGACCTGAAGCCTCTGACCTAATGTACTCCGGCCATTAATCTTCTACTTATATAATAACATTACTGAACTATGTGATGCTGTATTGTTTAAAGTTGCCATTTTGAATTTTTACTTCGATTCAAGATTGACGTAGAATTAGAATTTGGTCAATTTTGCATTAAGCATTTACATGTATAACTTCAAAGTGTTATCTGCATCAAGACTCAAAAGGTTATTTTATATCGACTGTCAATCTTCCTTTAGAACTAAAATTGTTTAAGTTACTGTACTTGAATTTTTCCCTCTTATTTTTGTTAGAGAAGACATTAATATTCAAGGGAAGAATACCAGTGGCTAATATTGAAGTTGAAAACATTGAAGACGGATCAGGTTTGCATGTACACGTGTACATTTTATTATTATCATTGATATTGTTATTATTATTATTATTATTATTATTATTATTATCATTGATATTGTTATTATTTGTTTTTCCTCATTGTGATTATTATGTTTGGAAGCCATTATATATGAGTCCTAATTGATAATTAGTGGTTTGCCATCTCTCTCTCTCTCTCTCTCTCCCCCCTCTAGCTGACTGTCACACTTACGGCTACACTGTCAAGAACGGCTGGAAGATGAGGAACTTAGCAAAGAACAAGTGGTTTGTGCTAATAGCAAAGACACATAGCGAGAAACAGGAATGGATAGAAGCAGTGAGAACACTGAAAGACAGAATAAGAAGTAAATCACTAACTATAGATATACATGTACATATACATGTACATACATGTATATGTACATGTATGTACATGTACATGTACATTTGCCTTATATGAATTTACATGTATATTTATTGCCTTGCATAGTTGTATTTTTAATATCCCATTAATTCATGTATGATGTGTATGATTTGATAGCTTTGATATAATCAGTGTAATTTAATGCAAGTCCTTTTTGTGGGTTAGCCATGATTTTTAGATGTACATGTCATTATTGCATGCCTTATCCAGTGTCTCTTATCTTCTCCTTTACCTTTTAAAGCTACAATGTACATGTACATGTACCTGTATTGTTTTATCTCTCTTTCTATGTCCTTTTTCTCTTCTCTTCTCAGATGTTGCTGCTGGTATAGCTCGTGATACTAGGCTACTCATGTTAGACAAAGGACGTAAGCTTCATGAGTTGATACACAATAACTCTAAGATACTGTACGATCATCGCTATCGACTGAGATCCTACCCTCACTCGTTCAGTGGGTGTGACTTCACACGTTGGCTAGTTAAGATTGGAGAGGCGGGAGATGAAAAGGAAGGAGTTAGGTTAGGACAGGCGCTACTGGAGAATGGGATTATTCATCACGGTAAAAAATAACTTCTCTCTCTCTTCCTCCTCTTTCTCTCTCTTCCTCCTCTTTCTCTCTCTTTCTCTCTCATTTTTTAATTACAGTGTACTGTTATTTTTAACAGTTAGTAGTCAAATATTTGACAGTTAGGCCAGCTTTTGCTATCGTTAGCTTTGGCCCTACAACAGAGCACTTCTGCAGTGCATATTCTCTGTTCCACACACTTCTAAGCATTAGAAGAATCCAGCTTTATATAAACTAGCCTGCAGTCAT